TCTGAGGAGATGAATGGTGAGTTAATGAGAGCTGTGATAATCCTGTTATATTGGTAACATGCAGAATGATATGTGCTAGTGTCATGGCAGTAGGACTAAGAAATTACTGCAAAGCTAAAACTGGGAATGACATTACTGGTGGGAAATGCACTTCACCTGTTCTCAGGTGGTGTTCAGATGCAAGGATATTTTTCCCTCAGTTTCACATTTTCAATCTACATCTCAGTTCCACCGGGAATCTCTCACTGAGTTTATGTAAATGGAAAGCTTAACAGAAAATCAGTTTGTAACAGTGATTTTTTTATCTTAAAAAGTAATTAAACCTGAATAATTTCTGTCTGTTGATGGTGTACTGGATGGGGTTCATGGGCACCTTGTTCTGGATTTCTGCAGCTCAGAGCAAGGGCATAGCAATTTCCCAAGGAACTGCTGAGGGCCCTTGGGCATCCCAGGTACTTGGAACATCAGGAGTGATGATGACCTGAGGGGGAATGTGCAGCACTGATGACTGGTATCAAAGAGAAATGTCTCTGCTCCAGACTTAAGAGTGTATTGCTGGATAGTGAGTCAGCAGAAGACAACCAAGGTTATGTGTCAAGAATGCATGTAAAAAAAGTTAGCTGTGTCAGGGTTTCTTAGAAAAGCTCATAAAGAAAGGACCATAATTATAATTGGCTCAGTGAAGAAGGATTAAGAAGAGAGAACTGACAAGTTGCAACTGCTTAGAAAAATATTTTATTGAGACACATTGAAACAGTATGAGATAGTAGGAAACCTTCTACATAAACATCACATGTGTTGCTGTGCTGGAGAAATCCATAGTCATGAAGTATGTGAACCAACTTGTCATAGAATCAATTAGATTGGAAAAGACCTCTAAGAATGAGTCTAGCCTTTGACCAAGCACTACCTTGTCAACCAGACCACGTCTAGTCTATTCTTAAACACTTCGAGGAGTGGTGACTCCACCACCTCCCTCAGAGATTGTCATGAGATTGGTTTTAAGTACATCATAGCTTATCTATATTTAAAATAATTGCTGTATTTGAACTTTTTTCCCATATTTTTACAGTACTATGGTTTTACTGCATAACACTGTACTGCTAAAATTCATGAGGGTTTACTTAGAATATTCATAGTCCTGATGTCAGATGAGTATCAGGTGTTTATGGGATCAAACTTCCATACTTGAGTGTCATCCCTGTGCAGTAATCTGAAATTGGGTGACATATCAGTGGACTTCAGCATTGTTTCACCTGATCATCATGTCAAGTATGTAAATTAGTAAGGTTTTTGCAAAACGTCTGGGTACAGCCCTCTGCAGTTCACCAGGGTCCTCACTTATTTTGGCTGGGACTGTAGTTGATAACTTGAAAATCACTGTGGATATACTGGAAAGTAGATGCAGAGACCGAGTTTGGGAAATGTTAGTTGTTTGCTTTTGTAATAGAGAAAAAGTGATGACTGATGCTCCCCACCTTGCACTGAAGTGGTATGAATTGCTGTAATTGCTGTGATTCAGAGCTGGGAGATTCCAGATGGAAGAGAATAAGCTTACTTTGCAGTCAGTAGGCAGGATATGGAAAGTTATGGGTCCTGCATACCTCTAGCTTGGCTGTCTTCCACATCGGTAGTATTTTGCATTGCTGTGTATGCTGTTAACACCTTGGTATATATGAATAGTGTGGTCACACTATAGCTGCTTGGGGAACTATAACTTTGAACTGCATAAAATTTGTTCATGTGATTTCCATTGAGAGGGATTGTTGGATATTTTTTTCTGATGGAAGATGATAAATTAGAGTAGAATGGCAGGAAAATAAAAGACATATATGTATGCTTATCTTATTCAGCTGTGAAGTTAGCTTACCTGCTTTCTAGGTATATGGTATTTGAAGAGGATGTGAAAAACAATATGAAGGGTACCTGAGAAGGGGGTTTCCACATACTTATATTGCAGCTGCCAAAGATGTTCAACAAACCTGGCAGCTTCTCTGCTGCCAGTGGCATTGTTGCCACATTGAGGGGTGGCCCTGATGTGCAGTGTGGGCCAGAGATGGCAATGTTTTAGTAGATCTGACATGCAAATTATGAGAACATCATTTGGAGCTCAGGTCACACCCGTAATTAAAAGCCAGCATAAATGAAAATGGAAAATACCATAGTCAAAAGTTTGTACTTTTTATTAGCCCTCAACTAAAAGAACTTTTAATTACCTGTAATATTAGTGGACCTTTAATAGCTTTTATACTCAGTTTTTATCCTTAGGATGTCTAATGTTGAACTACACATTTTTAATTGCCCTGGACACCTTCAAACAGCCTATGAGAACAACTTCACATTTACTGTCATTCCTGTTTGAAACATTCATGTAACATATATTTCTTCTAGCCCTTTTTAACCCTTTTCCTTCAGCAAAGAGCTATCCCTTCAAATTTTCTGCAGCCATTACTTCACATTGTAATATTCCTCTGTCCTACTCATGCAACCCATGCTCTGTATGGAATAATTAGAACTTCTAAATGATTGAGCAAGATGATATGCAGGAAAACTTTACAGTACCCAGTACTCCTCTTTAAGAACTGGTGCTTGAACATGTTCCTGGAATAATGTGAAAAGTCGCAGGTATGGCTAGCATGTGATTTGGCTGAGGAGTGTGGGGGCAGTCTCACCAGCAAACAGTAAATGTTGCTCTTTTAGAAGAAGATTTGAAAAGGCATGTATTACCCACAATTTCACCTTCCTTGACAACGTAAGATAAAATGCTGAGGGTTGTGCACGAGGCACTGAGTTGTGGCATACATAACGTTCAGATGTGATTTTTTTTTGTGTGTAATGTCAGGGGTTTTGGCCAGGAGGAGCTTTGGCAAGAGGCTGTGGTAGTAACATCCCAGACTGCAAGTGAGTTTTGACAGGGCTTATCTGGCAAATCTTACATGTCTACAGAAGGACTTTCAGGCCGGTGGCATAAGTAGATTTCAGGTTGAGCAAATGAGCTGACAAAATGGATTTTGAAGGTTGCTGTATTACACTGAGAGGTCTTTGCCATGGACAAAGGAAGTGACTTTCCTTTGAAACAAATGCCAGCCACAAGCTGTAAATCAGCCAGCAGGGAGGTAAAGCTACTAGAGAGACTAATTTCTCTCCTGAGAAAAAGAATGTCACATAAAGAAAGCCCATATTTGATCATCCACAGGCCACTTGGACTCTAATGTTGGCACATAAAACAGTTGTTGAGCTTTGTGGTTTCTTGGTTTGGTTGGATTTTTTTTCAGTTCTGAAAAGTTAAACCCCCTACTGGCAAAGCCTGCCCTAGAATGCACTCTGTCCATCAGCTCTTGTTATTCTACCAAAAGCCTGACTTTCACCTCTTCTTTCATTCTCTCTATAACTCAAAATAACTGCAGCTGCCCTTCAGTTTTTTGGCTGTCAGAGTGAGCTGAGCTGTTCTGTGCCTTCTGTAGCACTATGGGTTCTTCTCCTGAACTGGTGATACGTTTTCTTAATGTAACATAGGTCAGAGTTTTACAGTTTTGAATGTCAGAGCAGTGTAAAGTTTTGTATTATCAGCAAGTAATTCCAAAACTCTCCTTACTGTTGGCAATTGCTTTAAGAGTGAAGGAATGTCTTGGATGTAATTACATTATCAAGGTTTGATTAGTTCAGCTTACCCAATCAACTATGTAATACTTCTTATCTATGGAGCAGTTATTTTCTTAATTGCTTACATGTTTTTATCTTTGAACATTTCTAATGTACAACTAAGACTGTAGGAGTTGGAGTGGCACTTGTTTTAGTAACACTTTAAGTTATTTAGATACACTGAAGTGGAAGATAGGCTAAATGTTGTTTCTATCCAGCAAAATATTTGTAGAGGTGAATTGTTCATTAGAAATGGCATTAAGAAGCCCCATAATGTGGTATAATCCTTGCTTACATCTTTGCTAGGATGTCGGGGCTTTTTTTTTGTAGTGAAACTCTGGGTGAATGGGAACGTCTTTCTTGCGGCTGAAAAGATAATTCGTTCTGATTTACTGTCCCTCAGGCGAGTGCAATGCACTGCTGAGATGTGAGTTGCCACCTACAGAAGAGGAATACCTGTGCTGCTCAAGTCATGCATGCTTCCATCTGCTGATGGGTCTCCATCTGAACTCAGCTTCTGAAATAATTAGTGCTATATCACTGAGGCACACCAGGCTCCTGTGAGCCAACCCTTAGTGTTTCTGCAGCACACTGCTTTTAAGTTGCTCACAGTGATGCAGACAGACCAAAAGCTGTAGGTCACCTACGTAAACTCATGGAAAGCAGAGCTGGTTGGCAGCAGTCTTCTTTTATAACAGGGTTATAAAGCAGCATTTCATTCATTTCATGTCACTTACTGAAAAAACTATAAAGGGCAGGAAAAGGTTCTCCTGGCAGTTCCAGAGAATGCATAACTGGAGAGGGTAAGTAGTTTTCTCCATTGCTTATTTGCTAGTGGAGATATGTTTGGCTGAACAAGGACCAGAAATGGAAGTGGTAATCATTAAACAAGCAAATCCACCAGTTGTGCTCTCCAAAAATAAAATCATGGCAGAAAATAATTCCTGGTCCTAAGAGGTGCTAAGTCCCATGCATAGGGGGCCAGGAACATAATTGGTGCTTCGGATGAGGGTGCTCAGCACCTTACAGAATCTCACATGGTCAAGTGCAGAATTTGTGCATCTGGGCATGGGAACTGTGATCTGCAAGTTTCTCCTCTGTCTCCTGAGCTGTTAACATTAAGTGTGATTTGAATGTCCAGAATAACAGATCGAGGTTAACTGCTTTTAAAAGTGAGTCAAAAGTTGCCATTTTCCCCTTGAGGCTTTTTTGAGACATTTTCCAGCAGTTGAGAAAATAACTCTCCAAATTAGTCACTTTGTTAATTTGTAGATTCCCTCTGGTTAATCAATTCCATAGGGAAGAAAACTTTTTTAATGTGTTCATTGCCATTGCTTTTTTTTTCTTTCTTTTTTTAGGTGAACATGTTTGTGGAAGGATTCCATGATGCTATTCTTCTTTATGCTCTAGCTTTACAGGAAGTCCTGAAGTTTGGTTTCAGTAAGAAAGATGGGGAAAAAATTGTTCAGCAAACACGGAACAGAACATATGAAGGTAAGAATTAATACAGAATTCCAGCTTTCAGAGTAAAAAAAAATTCAGATCTTTGACGTGTGCAGAGTAAGGACCCATGCTTATTCCACTCTTAAATGAGAGGAAAATAATGATATAAAACCACATACATCCTAAAGGATGGCTCACATACTTCACCAGTCTGACTTTTTTTTGCAACAACTATTGAGGTCTTACTCAGTTCAAAAAACTTAACAATTTAATTACCTTCACTGATGTCATAAAGAAATACGAATAATTTTCTCAGGCTCCTTCTTTGTTTTTGAGAAGATTACAGCTGCTCGCTTTATTGATGTTCATCTATTAGCTCTGAGATTGCCTCATTTTTTCCATTTCACTTTTTATCTTAGAAGCCTGGGAATGGATAGAAGCAAGCAGGTGCCAGGGTTGGGGTTATTTTCTGTTTCTTGACGGGACTCCTTTGGGCCTGAGAAGGATTTACCCCAGCCTCCTTTCAGGAGCTGTGGGTGTGAGGCAGCAGCTGAATAGCACTGTGCCTTTCTGTGCCTAATCCTGGAGATTGCAATTCCACAGTGCAACAGGCACTTATATGTCACCTTGCTGATGCAAAGCAATACAAATGTTCTTGCCAGGGAAGAATCATAATAAGGAAACTAAGGATTACTGGTTTCATCTGTCATCTCTTAGAATTTTCCCATCCATCACTTTACAGTGTTCCCAACCATCTCGTATAGTACTCCAGTCATTTGGTGTAGGACTGGCAAGATTTCCTGGAAATGCCTCAGAAAAGGAAACATTTCTCCTAGATAAGACGTGAATGATTCATTTGAATGCATAAGAAAAATCTCAGCTGCCAGATTCTCTGCTCTAAGAACACATGGCATAGTGTAGGAAGGCAAGAAGACCAGCAACTCCAAACCACTTTTCTGTTCTCAAATTGTGGCCTGAACACAAGGCAAAAGGATTCCCAGGGCAGCTTAAGGAAACACAGGGATTGTTTTAAATTATGCTGGTGGCAATCATCCCGTAAGCATCCCTACACCAGCTGGAGATTGTGCTTTGATGTCCCACTGCCTCCCTTCACATCAATGGATTCCCAGAACACTGTTTAAACAGAGGGAATCTGGTGTCTAAGAATTTGCCTCACTGTTTGGTTGTCCTGTGTTTTCTCTACTTCCATTTCTCTGTTCCAGGAAGCCACAAGCCAGTGTGCCCCTGCAAGTCTTTTGTAGTACCAGGTGCTCCATAGGAACTAGTTGCTTGATTCTCACACCTTGCTTGTAAAACCAGCCAGTAGGAGAAAATGTTCTCTTT